ATGTGCTAGACTAGTGCTTTATCACTGAGCTACATCCCCAGCCTTCTTTTTAATTTTAAAATGACAGGGTTCAGAGGGTCAAGGTGCTGGCCACCAAGCCTGATGGACTGGGTTTGATCCCCCAGACCCATATGATGGAAAGGGAGAACTGTCTTCCAAAAGTTGTCCTCTGACCTCCACACGAGCCCCCAAGGAACTTGTACACACAAACACACACACACACACACACACACACACACACACACCCGACCTCCCCACGCGCCCCCCCGGAACTGGTCCCCACAAACTCACACACACACACACACACACACACACACACACACACACACACACAAATCAATAAATAATAAAATGCAATAATTTTTTTCAAAATTGCCAGGTTAGCTTTGAACTCTCTCTGTAGCCCAGACAAACCTTGAACTTTTGATACTCCTGCCTCAATTTCCCAAGAAACTGGGGTTACAGGCATGCATCAGAAGGCTCTATGTTCCTCAAGATTTTGAAATGATTTTAGAAAGAGTTCAGTAGCCTGTGATAAACGACTGTATATCAGTAGTAGAGTCAGAATCTGGTTACAACAGAAACTTTTGAGTCTAGAGGCTTTCTGTGTATTTTTCTTTTTGAAATAACCCTTCTGGTAACCTCTTATCACTGATTCTATACAAACACATACATTCCCTGCCTGTCTATGTTGTCTTATTAGTAGTTTAAATTTTAGTTTTGCACATGTTGAAAGGGCTTGCTTGGTTCATAGAGCTATAAACACTTCAACATTTGTCCTTCACCACGTAATTATTTCATTAAAAGTAAATTACAGCTTATTCAGGCACTGAGCTGACAGTGGTAATCAGCTGGTAACTCTAAGATCTGAGAACAAATTTCCTTGGTATTTTAATAGGAGTTTTCTGAGCTCATTTCTATGCATGAAGCATCTCTCTGTGAGAGCGCATCACAGGTGATGTCCACCTTGAATGAGATCAATCTTTTAAACAAAGGAAGACACTAAGGGCAGGAAACTGTGTTTCAGATGAACACTGTAAGGGGTGATTTTGTTCAGCAAAGTGATCAGGCTGTGAAAGGTGAGAATACCTCCGGCAGACTCTGTGAAATGCTCCTTTTTCAGAAAGCTCATTTAATAAATAGTGAGGGGCCCCATTGTTTCATTTTTCTTACAGGGGCTGTGACTCAGAGGCTGCAGTTGCTGTTCTCTGATTATCTCCCCAGAGTGTGGCCCTCTCCCAGTCACCCTCACAATTCTTTCCAGGGGTACATCTGCCCATTGAGTCAAGGTCAGAGCACAGTGGGTCTGGTTCTGGCTGTTCAGTAGAACTGAGCAGTCTGTGCTGATGGTGATGACCGGTTGATGCTGTTCTGTAGTGTGGCCTTGGCCACAGGTGGCTGCCTGACACACTTGAACATCTGGCAATTGCAGCTAGGCAATCCTAGACCTTGGGAGGTCAAGGTGAGAGGATTATGAACTCAAGGTCAGCCTTGGCTACAAGGGCTGGTAGAGGACAAGACCTTCAAGTTCTAGGAGGCCATCAAGGGCTGTAGCAATAGCCTGAGTAGTTTTGGGAGTCTCTTGGACTACTCTGGCCAACAACTAGAAGGGAGGTTTCTCCTGTCTGGCACTATTTCTTGTTATGTAGCCTTCAGCTACACACATGGACTCATGTAGATATTGTGTGTGTAATTTTTCAGTAGGCTTTTGAACTGATATGTTTCTCTCTATTTTTTTGTACCAGCTAAACATTATTTCTCTCTCTCTCTCTCTCTCTCTCTCTCTCTCTCTCTCTGTCTAACCCTCCCTCCTCCCTCCCCAGTTAAAGTACCCCATTTTACCCTTAATAATACCTGTCTCCTATGGTCCCCCTTCTCTTGAGCTCCTCCTTTCTGTTTACCCCCATGGTTCCTTGTATAGCCCTCCCTCTTCTCCTCCCATTTAAATACCCCCATTTTCCCCGTTTTTCCCCTGGTAACCACTGTCTCCTACTGTTCTTCTCTCTCAGGCTCCTTCTTTCACTTTACCTCTCTGGTTCCTTTCCATTTTCCTGGCTCCTGCAGTTACATCAGGATACATACTCACATATAAGGATTTGGTGCTAATGAGGGAGCCTATACATCATTTGTTTTTCTGAGTCTGTGTTACTTCACTTAGTTTAACAGTTTCAAGTTCCATTCATTGACCTGCAAATATCAGGATTTTGTCTTTCTTTACCCTGAATAGAGTCCCATTGAATAAATGTACCACATTTTTATTATCTACTCAATTGAGGGACACTTAGGTTGCTTCCATCTCTTAGCTATTGTGAAAAGAGCAGCAACAAACATGGATGTACAGTTATCTCTGCAGTAGGATGAGTTCTTTGGGTATATGCCAAGGAGTGGTATAACTAGATCATATGGTAGGTTCCTTTTTGGCTTATATTTTTTATTTATTATTTTTATTTTATGTGTTTGAGTGTATTGCCTGCATGTATGTGAGTGCACCCATGTGGTGCAATGCCGCAAAAGTCAAAAGAGGGCTTTGGATTCCCCTGGAACTGGAGTTAAGGACGGTTTGTAGCTGCCATATGGGTGCTGGGAATCGAACCTGGGTCCTCTGCAAGAGCAGTCAGTGCTCTTAACTACTGAGCCATCTCTCCAGCCCCCATTTTTAGTTTTTTAAGAGTTCTCTACATAATGGTTGCACGAGTTTTCAATCTCACCAGTAGGTTTCCCTACATCTTCTCCAGCATTTAGTATCATTTGTTCTCTTGATCTTAGCCAGTCTGACTGTGGTAAGATGAAATCTTAAAGTGGCTTAAATTTTCATTTCCCTAATTACTAAGGATGTTGAACACTTTTTAAGGTACTTCTTAGATATCTTTATTTCTTCTTTTGAGAACTCTCTGTTTAGATCTTTAGCCAACTTTTGAATCATTTGTTTTCTTGATTCTTTGTTTTTTGAGTTCTTTACACATTCTGAATGTTAAACCTCTGTCAGGTATGTCACTGGTGAAGATTTTCTCCCACTCTGTGGGTTTTCTCTTTACTTCCTTGGTTGTTTCTTTTGCTGTGCAGAAGTTTTTTAGTTTAATGAGGTCCCACTTGTTGATTGTTGACTTTAATTCCTGAGCAACTGATGTCCGATTTAGAAAGTTTTTATTATATCAGGGGAACATTTTGGAGAATTCTCCATCCTTCCTACCAATTCAAGTATATACACCCCCAGCGCATGTGTTTGTGCATTCAAAAGTCTCATCAGCGTTAATGGCATTTGACTTGAATCCTTCACACCTGCCTCACAGGGCCTGAAACCCTTCGAATTCAAGGGCATGGGTGGAGGACCGAGTCGTCCCTAACTCTTCCACTACCCGTGCTTTGTCTGCTTTCTTCTTCCTCTCTAATCTCACGTTTGGGTTGAAGGTCATGGGGTTCTATGGCAGATTGCTTGACGTGATCTTCAGTCTGTTTTTGCTTTTAGCTTTTTAAAGCTGTGGCTACAAGCTGAAGATGTTCTAGGGAAGCCAGGGCTGTGATGTGAATGACTGGGGTGCTTTTGGGTGTTGATGGCAGTGAGAGGCAGCCATGTGATGTGTTCATCACTGAGTCACTCAGACCAGTGATTTAAAACACTGTTTTGATTTAGTGTTTATTTTATGTGTATGAATGTTTTGCTCAAAAATGTTCAACATCCTTAGTTGATGCAGATACTGCACTGCCCCTGAGCTTGTGCAGCTGCAAATGAGATATTGGCCTACAATTCTATGCATCTTTGCTGCTTTGAAATATGTATATTTGTTTTTTGGAGGGAGAGAGAGAGAGAGAGAGAGAGAGAGAGAGAGAGAGAGAGAGAGAGAGAGAAGAGAGAGAGGAGGGGAGGGAAGAAGAGGAGAGAAGAGTTGAGTTTAGCTTTACACATAGCCTTTATTACTAAAGTGAACCCACTGCATAAGAGGAGGATGGAACTCTTGGGCAGTGTAGGAACATCAGACTGAGGACTGACTAGGATCCAGAAGACTCTGGGATGGCTGTGTAGCCAAACTTCCAAGGTTGTGATCCTCACCTCTGACAGAGGCCACAGCCCAGGGACCGTCTTGATGTCCTTTGGAAGCCTGGTGGATAGAATCTGACTTCTAGGTCTCATATATTTGTGGGAAGCAGCTGTTATTTCTTGTTAGAGTAAGTCAATGAATTAGTAATCTTTTCTTCTCTGTCTTTGTCTGGGTTCCCCTGCCGGCAGCTGCTTCCTTCATATATTGGGCATGGACTTTTCTGGCAGCCCCTTTCCTGTTCTGAGTACTGTTACCTCCCCCAACGTTGTTTTGTTTTTCAGTGCTGGGTATTCAACTTGGCGCCCCACCCATGCTAGACAAGGGCCCTACCACTCACTGAGCAATGCAGCCTTCAGCCTAGAGTGTCCTTCCCCACTAAGCTACTCAGCTTTATAGCCATTGTGAGTTTGGACCTAGTTGCCTTCCCTAGGTAATTTCCCTTGGATTTTAGCCTTCCCACCACTGGTCCAACTCCCACAGTGCTTTGCTAGCTCTGAGCATCTCACCTGTCCTCCTGTCTACATAACAGATGAAGCAATACAGGAGGCAAGATCATCCTCTGCTGCCTTTCTTTTCTAGATTAGAGTGCATGTTTTTCCAGAAGTATAAGACCCGTTTCTTAAAAAGAATGTGGTGACCTGTTGCCGAGTATGTGAAATTAAAAGGTAGGGATAATTCCTCCCCTCCTAGGTTTAACCCTTGCATCCAGAGCCGATGAATAAGTGGATTTAAATGGATTAGTGACTGAGAATCACAAACACTCCAGGCCAGCTGTTGAACTGATGGACTTTTTAAAATAACCAAGCAGTTGACTCTCTGAGTTGGCACTTGGCCTTATTTGGTGTGTGGAAAGAGTGGTGAGTATTTAGAGACACCATAAGGCACCGCCTCTGCGCCTCCCCCTCCTTCCTGTTTCCTCCTTCCTCTCCTCTTTCCTCCTTCCTTTCTTCTCTTCTCTCCCTT